TTATAAAATATTATTATATAAACATTAAAAATTTTATAAAACTTATAAAAGATTTAAATATAACTTTGTAATACGGAACTAAAATTAGATTTTTAAAACAGTATGCAAAAAGTATAACTTTTGCAAAAAAGCAAAAGTAGCAAAATATAAGCTTTATAAACTATTGCAGCTTATTAAAATATTTAACAAAATATAAAAAGTTATATTATTTAATTTTATTATTAAGCTATTAAAATTAAAAAAACTAATAATAAAAGTTAAATATAATTCGATTTTAGTTATTATAAACAAACTTATAAAGTATAAACATTTTGTGCTATATAAAGAATTAAATATAACAAAAGAATTTGTGTATATAATAATATAACATGTTTTTAATAAATATAGTATTTTAAAAAAAGCTATTATAAATAAAAGCATTATTATAGCTTTTAAATATTAGCAATTATTAATAAAAGCTTTAAAAATTAAGTATTAGCTATTTATAGCTTATTATTTATAAACAAATAAACAAACTAAAAAATTAAACTAAACGTTAAAACAATATTTACGGTATTATTTTAATAAACAATAAAATAATTAAGTTAAGTTATTATTTTTAGCAAAATTTATATATAACAGTTTAAATAATAAAAATATAAAAATGTTATTATTTAAAACAAATTATAAATTTAACTTAAAAAACAATTGAACATAAATTTTAGAAGCAATAGTATTAATAGCAAAAAAATAAATAAACAAGCTTATTAAAATATAATAAAAATTTAAAAATAACTTAATATTTATTTAGCAATATATAAAAGTATATTATAATAAATCAAAGTTGTTAAAGCTAACTTTAAAAAAAAAAATAAAGTATATTTTTTAAAAAAAAATATTAGAACTAAATAACTTAGTAACAAACTAAATTTTAAATAAATTAAACTATTTAAAATTAAAAAAATTATTTTAAAAACTAATTATTAATTATTATTATTTTATAAAATAAGAATATATTTAATTTTTTATATTTTATTATTAAAAAAAGCATTAGATAACGCTATATTAAAAACGTTTATTAAAGTAAAAAAAAACTAAGCAAAATATAAAGTAAAAAAAATATTGGACTTATGTTAAAAAAAACGCGCTATAAAATATTTAATTAAATAAATAAGATATTTATACGTAAAAAACATTTAAAAATTTAAAAAGCATTTATAGCATGCGATATAAGCAGTTATAACGTTTTATTAACAGCATTTTAATTAACTAAAGCTAAAAAAACAAAGTTTATTTTTTAAGCAAAAAAAAAGTTAAATACGTTTTAATTAAAAATAAATAAGGCGGCTACAAAAGCAAAAGTTTTATTAATTTAACAACTTTTTTTTTTATGTTTACGCTTTTTAAAAGATTTAAACTTTTTTAAATCTATAATACTATAAGCTACAGCTTTTATTATTTTATTATATTATATTTTTTTTTGTTTATAAAAGCAACGCATATAAGCAAGCGCTAATTTAGCAGCTTTTTTAAAAACTTTTAGTTTTTTTTTTAATAATTTGTATTGCGCAATAATTTTGTTAAGCTGTTTAACAAACAAATTTTTAGCATTATATTAAAAGCGGACATTGTAAATATAAACAAAATAATAACTTGATTTAGATTTAGTAAATAAATACTTAAATTTATATTGTTAGCAATAAAAGCATAGAAAAAACATAGTAATTAAAGCATAAAAAATAACAGCAAAAAAAAAAAAATTATGTTTTGCAAGTTTTTTATTAAACAATAATTTTTTGCAACGTTTTTTTATACGATTAGCTATAATAAAAAATAAAGCAAGAAATAAAAAATTATGCAAAAAGCATAAACATTTATTATTTATTATTAAAAACAATAATCTTAAAAAAAAAAAAATAGTGTTATAAACTAATAAAAAAACGGCTTAAAAAAAAAACTTAGCGCAGTTATAAACTAAATAAAAGGCTGGACTAAAAAACAAGCTATAGCTAATTATAAGCGCAAGGGTTACGTAATAAATAGTTGGAATAAGTTTTTATTTATTGCTATTTAAAATAGTTAGAATAGGTTTTTATTTATTGCTATTTAAAATAGTTAAAATAAGTTTTTATTTATTACTATTTAGAATAGTTGAAATAAGTTTTTATTTATTGCTATTTAAAAAATATGTAAAAAAAAGAAATACTATAAAAACGTAAAGAGTTTTCTTTGTAATTAATATTAGTTTTTTTTTATTTTACTGTTTAATTTAAGCTTATAATTTAGTTTTTAAAATATATTATAAAGGAGTTAACCTTTTAACAACTACTAACCCTACTTTTGTACAGTATTTTCTGTGTTATACTTTACCAAGTGTTACCCCCCCCTAGTTATACAGACTAAACAACGATTCACACTTGTAAGTAAATTAACCTATGTAGAAAGCTTACTCGTACCAGGAATAGGACCCGTTCGTTACAATTTGCTGCTAATATTAGCTTTTAAAAAAGCTAATTAGCAAATAAAAGTTTTAGTTTATATAAAAAATATATTTTAATTATATTTATATTAATACTAGTTTTTGCTGTTTAAGCTTTAAATAAAGCTATAGTATTAGTTTTTATAAGCTTAGTTTATTTTATTATATATATATAAAATGCGTTTAAAATAATGTTAAAACTTATATATTAAGCTAATAAATATAAAGTTTAGTTTTTAAATTTATTTAATTTATTTGTTATAAATAAAATTTATTTTAAATAAAAAGTATTTAAACTTAAATAGCTTGCTTAAGTTTATATTGCTGTTAAATTTATTATTATGCTTGTTTTAATAACGTTATAAATAAAATTTATGTTTAGCTTAATTTTAAAAATGTTTTTTTTAGCTAAAAATTAAAAATAATAAAAAAAATAATAATATAAATAGCTTTAAATTAAAAAAATGATTTTTAATATAATAACTAAAGTTAAGCTGTTAATTAAAAAAAGTAGTATAATAAAAAGTTCGATAAAAAATGTTTAAATTATTAAAGTTTTTTAAATTTTTTAATTTTTTTGTTTTTAAAACTTTTTTTTTGTTTTTTTTTATAGTTGTTTTATATGCTTTTTTAAAACGCAGTTTATACAAATTTAATATAAACTGCTTTTTTTGCTTTAATTATTTTTTTAGTTTATTAAGCTTAATAGTTAATTAAGCATTTTGCTGTTAAAACAGTTAAATAAAAGCTTTTTTTAGTTTTATTATATTAATATTAAAAAAATTTAAAAGCTTTTAGCTTTTATTATTATTTAAAAATATTTTGTTGCTATTTTATAAATAACTTATATATAAAAGTTTTATAAAAAAAATAAAGCAAGCTAGTTGTTTTAAAGTTATAATAGTTATATATTATAAATAACTTTTAAATAAAAGCTTTAAAATTGTTACGTTTAAAAAATCTTTTAAAGTTAAATACAATATAATATATATTTTATATAATAGGTTTTATATAAGACTAAAGCTTGTAAAAACAAAAAATAGTGTGCAGAGCACACTTAAATAAATTATAATAATATGGGCAGACAGAATTAGAGAGAGCATACTCTGATTGGTGGTTTGGTTGGTAGTGCACCTGAATTATAACATTTAAAGTTTGCAATGCCTCTCAAAGCCATCGTTAAAGCCACTCCAAGTTGTTGTCCAAAGTATGTCCTGGAATGCCCTATTTCCCATACAAATCGGGTTAGTTAGAGACATCTTGTAGACACCTTGCCAATTAGAGTTTAGCTTCATGTTCAAATAACCGCGCCCTTTGACTGCTGCTTGGCAGACTGTGGCTTGGCGGACTGTGTAAGCTGCACCTAGATTAAGCCACTGCGTGAGAAATAGTATGTTTTGATTGGCTTCGGCCCCTGCGTTGAAGTCGTCTAGGATTAATTGGCCGAACCAGCAATGCATGTACGTGTAGCACAACGACGTCTGCGAGATCTGGCAGGCGATTTGCGGACTTGGAGAATGTCCGTTTTGTCTGGGCTTAGTGTACCTGTTTTTTTCTCCACCCACTAATCAACAGCCTTAATTGAGAAACGTGCCAACATCTTTATCGTCGCCCAGGAACGTGTCAATGTCCAAATTGCTGAGGAGCTTGGGCCAACAGACAGTACTTTGTACTATATAACTTGACAGCTAAGCTCTGGTTCCTATCCTCAGGTCTGCTTGACATTGTAGGTACCTTAAAACATCAGAGTTTCTATCGAATATTAAATGTGTACAGTACACTATATTAAGCTCAGTGCCCGCATGCGAACGCGCTATCACGGTGTCCCATAAGATTCTGCTAAACCATGTAGACCTCTGTATACCGGGAGTGTATCTATACGAAAGTTGACGAGTTCCTGAATACTTGCAGACATGCATATGCACTGGCCTTGAGCCCCCTTGCCGCTAGAGACTGAGACAATTTAAATTCGGACGAGTTTAAGTGCCTAACACTACGCTAGAATCGTTGTTTACGCAGGGTCCTACACTATTTATCTTGCATGCTTGTTTACACCCCCCTTAATCAAGACTCTGTATAAAGCCACAACCACAACTGACCCTACCAAGGTACTCCATCAATCAATCGGTAGGCGGTGGCGTTAGATAAAAAGGGCGGCTTTTACTCTGGACTGTCATGGGCGCAACACCCCAACAGCGGTATGCCTTGTTCCTTTTGCCAACATACCAGTGCATCATTCAAACAAAATGAACAGCACGTACGGCAAAGCAATAATTACTATACTGGTCATTTAGCAGCCACATAAGTAAGTAACCATACAATACCACCGTAGGTACCTGTACACTATGTACCTAAGGACTTGCTATAGGTTTCCATATATGGTTTAGGTTTGTCCCAATATTAGTAAGCTTCAGGCTGATAGCTTTCAGCTTGCGTTTAGTTATATATATTCGGTAAAATATAATTGTCAAAAAAAGAAAACAGGGAAAAAACCACAGACGACTTCAGTTATACAACAACGTTTCGTTGTTAAAGATCATAGCGATCAGGACGGGACTCGAACCCGCAATCTTTGCCACCGGAAAGCAACGCCTTACCATTAGGCCACCCGACCGTGTGCCATTTTATGCATGACAATCTATCATTGGATGACGGGAGGGGATCTTAAGATTTGTTATGGCGCCGGCTGGTGTAGGTGCTCCCAGGTTGTGGCCGGCTGAAAGTAGGAGGATGAATGAACGCAGAGATAACAGGCCGATTGACAAAGAACTTGGATAGTGTATGGCTATCGAAGGAACGATTTGAGTGAGATGGGTTGAAACTAAATGACGGACACTAAATCAATTTAACCGTATTTCCTATTAAGTCTAAGGTATATTTAGGTTAGGAGCTTATTGCGGCGGGTGTGACTTGGGACTGAACTAACCACAGCAAAGGAAACGAAATCAAGGATGGATCTTCAGTTCTTACCTCTATATACTATACCATTTTATTTCGTGGTATAGATGAATTGAGTTATACTTCACTGTGCTTGGACAGACCAAATTCACCCACCCATTTTGGTTATTTAAAGCCACGTAGGGGGGAACGTGCGGCAGGGGCTGCCTGGAACGCATCAAGGGCATGATACAAACGCTACTGTATTTAAAGGCAATGATATGATATAGATTTTTAAGGGACGGCATAGGAAAGGCCGAATGAGATGAAAGTTAGTGATTTGAATAATCACCATGCTGAGACATAATCCAGCTACTGTATCACAGCTGCGTACCTAGGCAATTGTATGACGACGATTAAGTATGAGCCCGAAAATAGTATAGAGGACAGCTGACCAGAACATCCTGCGGTGGCAGGTGACACAAGTTAATCACGCGGCTAATTCGAAACTTGTGACGTTGCCCCCGGTATCTACGCAAGATGCAGGCCAAGCGTTAGCTTACCTACACTAAACGATGCGGTCATAGAAAGACGTCATGCGGACTATGAGAAGCATAATAAGGTGCGAAGTGCCAAACAAGGAGGAGTTGAAGAGAAGGAAACCCATAGAGAAACATGGCAGTCTCTACGTGCTGGGGAATTCTAGAGAATTAGCAATGAATTAGCGGATAACTGGATTCGTCGTCCTAGATACGGCCCGCTAACCAAGGCTAGCAGCAGAATGAGAATGGGCCAGCTGTTAGCTTTTTGACGGGTTATGAAGCCTCTGTGAAGGAGCCATCTCGGAAAGGGGACACGGTGGAAGAAGCATCTTAACTACTGACGGACGGACAGAAATTATTGAGACATCCTGTATAAAGGGGCAATTTGATACAACCGCGGGTTTCTTTCTTCAGTGCGAAAAGATGAGCAATTCTCGAATTATCGCGAAGGCAAAGCAGCTCAGAATTCGCTATTCCAAGGCAGTCTTCCTAGGCAACATCCCTTATCCTCACTCTCCGCCATATATTTAAGGGTTGTTGCCACCGCTAAAATTGCAACCGCCTTCGTCAGCAGATATCGGAACATACCTGAGTCAACACCAAATAACAACTGGACCTTCCTATTGAATCATATCGTTGCCGCCAACTCTAGATATCGCCAGCCAAGATGCCGTCAGCCACACTAAATCCAGACGACCGAGAATCCCAAGTCTTATTCCTCAACTATCACGACCCACCAAACACCCCTAACGCCTGCAGCCTTTCATCAACCGCCATAGATCCGACGTTGGGAATGCTAGGATTAACGCATGGCTTCATCGGATCGCTAACGATGGCGGAAAAAAAGGCAATCATCTTTCTTGCGTCTTATGCAGTGGATTGGAGAGAATGCGGTCAGGAATACGACGACATCGTATTCTGTTTCGGCAGAGCGCATCGATGGGAAAAATCAGTTGCGTCAGGCCTAGCAGAGTTACACTGCGACACGGTCAAGTATGCTAAGCACATCCAAGCGGTACGACAGACTAGGTCGGCTCAACGGCAAGATATGCACCCCGAAAGAGAGCACTGCTGACCTCCGCCCAGAAAAGAATCGAGCCGAAAATTGATCAGCTCCGCCAGAGTTCGTATCGCCTGAACCGTGGCATTTCTGCCGTGGCACCACGTGGTGTAGCCGTTTCTCAAGCAGCGGAACCCCCTAAAACGACCGCCGCCGCCGCCACTATCTCGACGAAGACCCCCCCTTCAAGTGAACAGACCTTACCAGCTCCCGCTATGGCCAACGGTTCGGACGTGAAAGGAGCCACGACTACGGCTTCCAATACTCCCCTTTACAGCGGACGAGCTCTGCCCTCCGAAGGAAATTCGGATTTTGACAGTTCATCGTCCAGCAGCACTTCTGGAACTTCTAGCTTTTACGGATCCCCACAGGATAGCGCTTCATATAGTACTTCATCAGAAGCCTCGGCGGATGCCGATATGGCCACGCCTCCGGGCCAGCCTCAAGGTAATCCGACTTCGGCTGTTGCCGACGGCAGCATGAATCAAACTAGTCAACAAGGCTCCGATGTGATGGACACCGAATCTAGTCAACAAGCTAGTAATAGCACGGCTAATATAGGGGGCAGTTCGGACACGCAGCGGGACGTGGAAATGCGGGAAAGAACAGACCAGACCGCCGAGACAGGCGCGAATACGGCACGAGGGGATGCTGAAGTGTACAACGATACTGAAACAAACACAGAACGACCTAACAAGAGGCGCAGAATCGTATAGGCTGTGCAAACATGCGATGCGGAATCTTCACTATTCTTTATACTCTCATGGAAACTCCATTACTCTGCAGGCTGTACAGTACATGCGCGACGGAGTACCCTCGGTGGAGTTACGGTGTTTTTGTTCTTTACTGGACAGCTGCTTTGGACAGATCAAAGAAAGGGGTCATGATGGGGTTATGGACCTGAAATGAAGGGAAATGAAGAAGATGATCTGCTTATGCCAGTAGGGCCCGGTGATGGGTATCAGGCGAGATTGCAAGGGAAAATACGCGCCCGCAGCAAGGGTAAACTATCATAGACGATGATGGATGGATGCATACATGGCAGCTCTATAGATCTGGGCTCGAGGAGCCCTCAGTGAATGATTTACCCACGAGTTAGCGTAGTGTCAGCAACATAAGCGTGACTATAGGACCGTGATGGTTTCTTCTGGTCCTGAGTGATTATAGACGGTAAATCTGAGAATTAGAGAGGATTTTCTTCGTTGAAAAAGCGTTTCATCTAGGTACTACCCGGCCTAGAACAACCTGTGTACTGATGGTGGGCTGTGTCTCAGAGTTCCCGGAGGGCTGTGGTTTGAGCGGTAGGACCATTTATTTTGCCTTCCATGGTGACAGACGTGTACACTAGAACCCGGCTTGTTGGGAATAGATATAGTTAATGTTGAGCTTACGACTTTATGATACATATAGAGAGTACCGACGATACGACATAGGCAACTGTGCGATTTCGCATTTCAAAACCACTGTAAGGGTGCCTACTTGTTATCGGGCGGGCGCTCTGAGAAGAAGTGTGACACGGCTCTTAGTCTGGGTATGAAATATTCCCGCCGGTCCTACAAACGAATATGTGACACCTGGCCCAGAAGTGCGTGGTATTCCCAGCCATGCCCCAACTTTCCTCACATTCCCTCATACGCCACTATCACTTTCTCAAGTACCTGCACTTCCTTGGTCTACTAAAACCGACCCCCTATCTCCTAACGGCCTCAATATCGACTGTTTACAGTCCATACCCAATGCGGGCGAACTCGACCAGATTATGCCTCGAGCCATCATCGATGACTTCATGCGGCGGGCGCAACGTGACGTTCTGGCCGTGGATCTCGGCGACCTGGCCATTCAGGGACGTATCAGTCATGAGTTTCTCGACGCCGGCGATCAGGGTACTAGGCGGCGTCACGACCATCCTCTCGAAGAGGGATTCGACGCCAGAGATGTTCGTTTCTTCAGACGCGTTAGCCAAAATCAACCACCAATAAGCGGCATAATCCCAGTGGTCTGTATAAGCCCGCCGATTCCGAATCCAGCTGTCTTGCTATTTGTAACGACGATCAAGGCGTGAGGGCAGAGAAGGGGAAGAATGCTTACCAAACACGGCCGGCGCAAGCGCGTTGATGCGGATCCCGATATGCGGCTGCCCGTAGGCGGGGCCGAGCGAGCGCACGAGGCCAACGATGGCGTGCTTGGACGCCGAGTAAAGCGGTTGCGGCGAGAATGGGTACAGCCCCACGTTAGACGCGGTGCAGATGATCGAGCCGCGGTGCCCCGTCGTCGTGTCGGGCGCGTTGCGCTGCATATAATGCAGTGCTAATTTCACGGCTTTGAGGGAGGCGTCATTGTTAGTCCATACCGGCATTGGGGTATAACCTACACGGCCGCCTTTCTCCCCTGCGTTTCTGATTCAGGGGATGGGAAAGTGTGAGATTGAAACACAAATTGAGATTTTGATATTCTTCAAGCACAGAAATGGTAAAAAGCACGGAATAGCCAGTCGTAACGGATAGTGGGTGACAATATAACTAAGAGAGAAAAGGACACACAGTAAACGTTCCCAGTAAGATTCACATCCAGGACCTTCAACCTCGGCTCATCCAGCTCGTCCAGTGTACCCGGGTTCTTCACCGGCGAGGGGGGCACGACCCAGCTACGTCCGCCCTCCGTGATGCCCGCATTAGCAACGACGACATCGATACGCCCGATTTCATCATGCACGGCTTGAAAAGCCGCCTTCTGCTGCGCCCAAGACGAGATGTCGCATTCCTTGAACCTCACCTCACCTCTACCGCCGCTATCTTCAGTTTCGTTTTCATTGGTCTGGGCACTGAGTTCAGCCGCGACAGCCGGGCCGTTCTTAGCATCGATGTCGAGGATAGTGACAGTGTCCCCCCGCGAGGCGAAATAGGCGGTCATGATCTTTCCGAGGCCGCTCGCGCCTCCTGTGACGATCACACTGCGGGCCGCCGCCATCTCGGGGTCTTTTTTTTAACTTGAAAATAAAGTAAGGCGGGTAGGAAGCGAGGCTGGAGGAAAGAAAGAATTAGATGGGTATAATGACAAGAAGGGCTGATATAGTGGGTAGCGCCACGCGGAATGTAACTGGCTAAAAATATACGAATATAATCACACTGAAGTAGA